TGTGTGTGTGTGTGTGTGTGTGTGTGTGTGTGTGTGTGTGTGTGTGTTGTGTGTGTTGTGTGTGTGTGTGTGTGTGTGTCTATCTGTGTACCACAGTGGGAATGGTGGTCCACCTGCTATTGCTCTCATTCTGATCAAGGTGTTTTGTGTAAAGAGGAGTTAGTGTGTGTGTGTGTGTTTTAATGTGTTTTTCTATGCACGTTGTGTCTCATCACTGAGTATGGTGTGGTGGACAGTTTATTTCTGCTGCTCTGGCTGTCGTGTAGGTTATTAAAAAATACTTCAACAGACATTAAGTTACTGAGCTACTGAGCTAGCTACTGTTGCAACACATAAAGCAGGTGTGTGCCTGCGTGCGTGTGTGCGTGTACCTGCTTTCCAAGAGTACTTGCAGCTTAAAGCGTGATGGCGTTGGTCCTGGTTTGAAGTCTAACAGTGGACAGTGATTGGACCACAGCCCACTGCCCACATTACATCTGGACATGTAGAGACCAAATGGAAGGTTTCTGATCAAAGGTTCAAAGCCCAAAATCTCACAACAGACAGACAGGTTACAGTCAGCATTCATTCCGGGGACAACGACTCTGCAGTAGTCCCTGGTGTTTATCGGCTCGATCCGACAAATATTCTATTGTATTAAAAATATAGAAAACACAATAAGTGTGCTCTCTTCAAAGCCACCAGACTCCAATCAAAACAAACTTCATTCAAACGCAACAGAAACCAAATAAAACTCATCAAAACCGTCCTGATTAGTCTTTCCACTGTTCCAACAATAGCCAAGTCTGGTTTGAAAGAAAGACCGAATAAGTAAAATATATATATATATATATATATATATATATAAGAAGTTACCACCGTAACATTTTCACTCTTTATTAACCCTGCATATACGTGCTCATTTTGATGTGCAACTTTTATCACAGAAACAGACGAAACAGCAGCTGAACGGAGGATTTCTACGTGTGTGTATGTGATCGAGTGTGTGGACATTTTTTAAGCACATTTTCCTTTTGAGGCATTTTCTTTTCGTCATTGTGAACAGGCCTCGCTTGATTCATATGCCAGCTGTCCCAACATGCACTGCTTCTCCCAGCCTATCATCTGCAGCTGGTTCAGTGTGTTTGTTTGAGCGACATACTTTTGTTTTCTCTTAAATAAATGGAGCGCTTTAGCTTCGCCTTCATTCTCGATGTGGAACACCGGGGTGCGCTCCCATCGTGCTCTGTGTTCTGACTCCCATGACGCTTTTCTTTTTTTGCGCTAACACCCATAATTCATCTGGTTTAATCTGCTGTTCCTTCCCCCCCTCGCCTCTGCTTCCCCCCCTCCTCTCAACCAATGGGCTTAATGGCTCAGGATCTCAGTCTGCTACCCCTGTTGGTGGTAAGATTACAACACTACTTCTTTTTCTGCTCTTTTTATCCTTACTGCCTCCTCTCTGCTGCCCTGACTTCCCCCCCCTCCTTCACATGCACCCAGAAAAGGTCACTTAAAGCTCCTCCCACTCTGGCATGCTGGGAGTTGTAGTCACAGACTGTTAACTTGGCTGTTCTATGATCATGCTAAACACACCGCTTTGGGAGCCTAGTGTTTCTGCCTAAAAAAAAAAAAAGGACAAACTTCTCTCCTAACTGGAATTCAGTTTCCAAAATATTTGGTTTTAGATCCCAAACAAATAATTCTGAACATTATTTTGTTAAAATTGGCATTTTTAGAATCCACATTGACTTTGTGTATCTGTAAATATAAAGAGATGAGGGAAGAAAGGAAGGTAGAGTTGACTTTAAAATGTAAGAAAGAAACGTCAAAGAGAGGTTCAAGTCTTCTTTCCGCGATAAACGTATGTTCTGTTAAATCACAAGTGGTGATCAAGATAATAGAAACAACGTATTTATTTAGCTCTGTGTCACTAGGTACTAGTACATAGAAGCAGTTCATTCATGTCTTGAGTTTGTGTGTGTGTGTGTGTTTGACTTTAGTTGAGTTTTCCGTGCGTCACTGAGAGAGCGAGAGAGTCTGGTCTGTGTGCTCATTTGTCAGTCATGCTGAAATCAGTTACGGTCCAGCTTAATGCCCTGAAGCTTGTTCCTCAAAAGTCTGTTCACACACATTCAGCACCTCAGAGCAGCTTCTCCTCCACTGTTGTGTCCTCAGGTTGATAGTGATGTGAGTCGTCGTAGAGTTAGCCACACTGTGGGCTTTGCAGTTGGAGACGGGACGACGTGGGGGACGAGAAAATTGAGACCTCTGTCATCAAATGTTATGGATTCATTTTGGACAAAAAAAAAGACGACAGAGCCGTCTGTAAATCATGTCAAAGTGTCACTTTTATCATTCAAATTGAATTGTTAAATGTAAATTTAAATGTTGTAATGTACACATGTGTGACAGATTGTGTACAAATAGGCACCGACACAAAATGTACGTCCCTCTTGGTTTGGCTTTCAAACTCTCCGAGCCCCATCGATCCTCTTTCCAACATCAAACATTGTAACGTTTGCCATTACGTTCTGTGTATTTTTAACATATTGTGGTGAATGTTATTTAAAAAAAAGAGTTTGTAAACTAGTTCCACTAAGTTAAGGGCAGTAGCAACTGTCTTAGTCATCATTTTCACAGTAAGCTCCTCACATCAGAGGGACAACTGCTTCTGTTTCTCTGCAGCTCTCCCTGTTAAGCTCCTCTTGTTGCCCAAGCAAAGCGCTGACTTTATTCCTCCCTGTCTTTTATGTTTTGTCTCTCTGCGTCTCTCTGAAGCCGGCAGTCGCAGCGGCTCCCCGGGTCGTGTGCTGACGAGTACGGCCCTGAGCACCCTGAGCTCAGGGGCCCACCGGGTGCTGGCCGGGTCCAGCGGGGACAAAAACAGACGCAGCCGAATCCCCCGTAGCCAGGGCTGCTCCAGAGACTCCTCCCCCACCCGCCTGTCAGTCGGTAAGCAAATGTGTCTTTTCTGCAACAGCTCAAATGCTATATGATGGTTTGGTTATAAAAACTCAGTGGTCCCTTAGGTACAGCACACACAATCGTCCACTTATCCTTGGATCTCATCTTTTTCTCCCCTCCTGCTCCCTTTCCTCTTTCCTTCCTGCCCCCGGTGCTTCTGTCCTGTAGCTCCTTCCAGCATTAGTTCCATCTACAACGGAGCAAGCAGAGGAGGTAAGGCTCCGACCTCGACCGGACCATCCTGCTATCCATCTTTTAACCTCAAATCCATCTGAAAATCATCCCTCATTCTTTATTCTCCATCCATCACTACAAGTCTCACAATCCCGATCCCTCCATCGAGCCTCGCAGAGCCGACTCCTCTCTAACCTGTCTCTGATTTCATGGCTGCGCTGTTACGGTGACGGGTGCCCATGATCAGCGGATCCTCCCTGTCTTTACTAACCTGTTGTCGGTGGCTGATGACCGGGCCTTCCGGGAGGATCAGTGAAGCTGCATCGGGGCTTTGTAACCCCCCCCCCCCCCGGCAGGCTGCGATTAACCCTGATTGGCTGGGTAGATGCTGACGAACAGAGCAATGAAGGGTGAAGTTGATTGCGATGCTACTGGATGAAAAAAAAAAAAAAAAAAAAGAAGCAGATCCTCCCCTTTTGCCCTTTAAGCCATCCCTCGATCGCTTAATTAATCTCAAATCACTTCCTTCTCTCTTCTGTGTGTTCGTGTGCATTCTGCAGGGTGCACGTGATTATCAGACTTTGTTCGTTTCATTTAAACGTGAGTGCAGCAGACCTGTGCTTCTTTTGGGTGCATCTCAACGAGAACTGACACAATTATGAATCAACATAAAATTAATTTGCAACTGTTTAAGTTACTTTTTTTAACCAAATGTGCCCAAAGTTCACTAGTTCTAGCTCCTGGATTTCTGATTATGAACTAGGAAACTATGATATTGAACCCAAATGTAATATGTGGCAAATCAATTCAAAGAAGTTTTGGGGAACTTTTGTTTGGGGCTTTCAGTATTTGTGGACATTTTATAGACGAGCTGAAACGATCAAACCTTGCACGAAAATCCCAAACAGGAAGTGACTAAAACCTGTTGAGATGCTCCCTGGGAGCCGTTCCACCTGTGCTCTTATTCTCTGTTGTTCTCTCAGTTGGTCACTTTTGCCTCTTCTGTCTTATTCATGTCTTTATCCATGTACCGTCCTCTCTCTCTCCTTTGTCACTGCTCATGTTTGTCTTTCTTCTTTGTCTTTTTCTTGTCTTCTTCGTGTCCCTTCCCCTTCCCCTCTGTGTTCTTACTACCACTTTTCTTCCCTCCGCTGCTCTTCCCCCCCCCACCCTCATCTTTCCCTCTGCTGCGGTGCGGTGTTGTTACCCGGGTGGCGTTAGCTCGGGGCAGTCGTATCCCTCGGCCCAGTATGAGTCAGGGCTGCAGCAGAGAGGCCAGCAGGGAGAGCAGCCGCGACACGAGCCCCATTCGCTCCTTCACTCCCCTCGGTGAGTAGCCAGGAGGGATGACGAGTCAACTCACAATGATCAAAAGAGAACAGAAACCTTTTTGTATACATAAAGTTAGCTCAAAACAACAAAAAAACATAGACTTTTATTTACATTCAGTGTCTGATTTACACTAAATCCCAACAGTGTAAAAAGTTGAGGGTGATTAACATCAGAAAAACAATCACATGCATGTTTTTCAGCCTTTCTTTCCACTCTCACACCTTGTTCGGTCAGTGTTAGGGTCGCGCGTGTGTGTGTGTGTGTGTGTGTGTGTGCGTGTGTGCGTGTGTGCGAGTGTGCGAGTGTTAAACTCTGTATGTGTGTTTTAATCTTGGTTGCAGCATCGCGGAGCTACTCTCGCTCCACCGGAGCTCTCCACACACCTGACGCTTTTGGTGCTGCAGGTGAAGGCTGAGTACATCTGTTTCTCCGTACCTCACCCACCCACCCACGTCACCTTAATGCGTGTTCGCTCACCCGTTTTCTTTTTGTTCTCTTTAGTGCCAAGCATCTTCTCCGACATTATTTGTTTCTTTTCTTGTCCATCAACCTCTTGTGTTTTTTTATGTTTTTTTGTATTCTGCTCCAGGATGTCGAACCTTCCAGTGGAATTGCATGTTTCCGCCCATTCTGCCAGTTTTTACCATTTGTTTTCTTTATTCAGCTCCGCCCCTTTCCTGCAAGGCCGACATGTTCCTCTGTGTATTCTGTCAATCATACTTTCTCCCCCCCAGCAGCACCTGCAATGTCACCTAATAAGTCATCCCATCAACTTACAATGGGAAATGTAGTGCGTGTGGGTTGAGAGTGGATGAGGAGGAGAGTGGCGGCTCATCAGTGGGACGAGTGAGAGAAGGGAGTTAGCAATGTTTGGTGTCAAGTCTAACGTTTGTTCTCTCTTGCTGTCCTTCCACTCTTTCTATCCGTCTGATTCTCTGCAGGATCGGGTTTGGGCATCAGCCAGTCCAGTCGTCTCTCTTCCTCAGTCAGCGCCATGAGGGTCCTCAACACGGGCTCCGACGTAGAAGAGGCTCTCGCAGATGCTCTGGTACGAGAACACGTACAACACGTGTACATAAAAACATATATTAACTCTTCTCACATTCCAGTAAGCTGTCACCATGTGCAGCTCACATCTCCTGGTGTGTGTGTGTGTGTGTGTGTGTGTGTGTGTGTGTGTGTGTGTGTG